ATACCATGTCTCGTCTAGGGGATAGTCTTGGATCGTGACATGCATCAAATAAATTAAGTTCTTCATCTTTATTTTACTTAAAATAAGTACTTTTATAAATATTAAAAGAAATATTTGACTTTTTCCAATCATATTTATGAGTATATAAACTACTTAATCTTATTTCATTAAATGTTTGTCCACAAAAATTCATGATTTCATTTTAAAGACCTATAAATCCAAGATTGGTCAAATTTCTTCTATATATATGTTGAAAATGAACTTTATTTGTCCATCACAATATTTTTTGTTTTCCCTCTTATTTCATTTTTCTCTCCTTTGTGGCTTCTCAAAATGATACAAGTGTTGGGTTAAATTCTGGTCAAGAGATTAAAAAATTGGTTTTTCAACTTTCGTATGAAAAAGTAATTGACAAACTTGAAGAGTGAGTTTGTTGAATAAATAATTTTTTAGCTCTCTTTTTTATCTTTTTATATTTACTGGATTTTTACTAATTGATGATGTTCTTTATGATGTCTTGTTGGCAACGTGATCATATGTGGTTTAGTAGCTAGGTTGTTGCATTTGTTTAGGAGTCATTAAGTTGTTTCCTAGTCTTTAAGCTATAGGAATAGTGGAGTCAGTTTTCATATTCAGAATTACTAGGAGAGTAAACGTGTTTTTTTATTTATAACGTTTTCTATTTAAGGACTGTTGTAACTGAGTATTCAACAGTATCTATACAGAGAAAATTTCCACACTTGCGAGTCTTTTTCTTTCATCTTTGCTGCAGTTAATTTTCTATCATTTGGCATCAGAGTCAGGTTAATGTTTCTTCTTTTTTGAAGTACTATTGCAGCAACAAAATATAGCATCTGAAAATTTTGTCCAGGCCGCTTTTACGTGCTTCAATGGTCATTACAACCATTGGAGCATGTTGATGGAGAACTTTCTTAGGTCCAAAGAGTTTTGGCAAGTTGTCAGTATAGGCGTGCAAGAGCCAGCAACTGGTACTGTCTCGTCGAAAACACAAAATGCAGAATTAGATAGTCTAAGATTGAAGGATCTCAAAGTGAAGAATTACATTTTTCAGGCTATTGATCGCTTAATACTGGAAACCATTCTTTGCAAGGATACTTCCAAACAAATATGGGATTCCATGAAGAAGAAGTATCAAGGAACTGCGAAGGCAAAACGAGTGAAGCTTCAAGCACTCTGTGGTGAGTTTGAGACTCTATGTATGGAAGGTGGTGAGTCGGTAACAGATTATTTCTCTAGGACGTTAGCTATCGCAAACAAAATGTGAATTCATAGTGAAAGACTGGAGGATGTTACCATTATTGAGAAAATACTTCGCTCAATGACAACATTGGAGGGCAAAGAAGGTGCTGGAGTTGGTGCACTCAGATATCTGTGGTTCAATAAGTCCTACATCTAATGGAGGTAAACGTTATTTCATTAGCTTCATTGATGATTATAGCAGAAATACTTGGGTCTTTTTCTTAAGAGAAAAATCTGAAGCATTTGAAACTTTTAAGAAGTCTAGAGTGCTTTTTGAAAATGAAGTAGGTTGTCAAATTAAGTGTTTGCGGGCTGATCGAGGTGGTGAATATAACTTACTAGAATTTGTAGAATTTTGTGAGAAACATGGAAGTAAAAGGCACCTTACCGCAACCTACACATCTCAACAGAATGGTTTGTGTGAAAGGAAAAATCGCACAATTCTTAATATGGTGCGTAGTCTTTTGAAGAGAAGTTAGTTACCAAGAGATTTTTGGGCAGAAGTAGTTCGTTTGAGCGTTCATATATTGAATAGATGTCCTACCAACTCTATTCAAAGTATGACACCTCATGAAGCTTGGAGTAGGCGTAAACCAAATGTTGAGTACTTTCAGATTTTTGGGTGTATAGCATATGCACATATTACATATGCAGCAAGGAAGAAGTTGGACGATAAAGTTCAGAAGTGCATTTTCCTTGGTATTAGTGACAAATCAAAAGCTTATCGCTTATTCAATCTTATTACCAAGAAAATAGTTGTTAGCCGAGATGTTATTTTTAATGAGGAAGCAATCTGGAATCGGGGCGATAACAATTTGTTTCAACATATTCCGATTTCCGTTGAAGAAGAAGAGGAACTAGAACGACCTTCGGAGATTAATTCACAAGCAAGTCCAATTGTATAGGATGCTGAAAGTGTTGAACATGAATCAAGTGATTCTCAGTTCAATAATGAACGTCCACAACGTAATAGAGGGGAACCAAGATGGTTGGAAAATTTTGAGGTATATGGGACTAGGAAATCTGGAAATACAGTAAGTCATTTTTTTTATTTTCATATTGTGATCCTATATCTTTTGTCGATGTCGTTAAATACCTGAAGTGGCATCAAGCCATGGATGAGGACATAAGATCAATTTAAAAAATGATACGTGGGATTTGACAAATCTTCCATAAATCAGAAAACCATTGGTGTCAAATGGATTTACAAAACAAAGTTGAAGGAAAACGGAGAGGTCGACAATTTCAAAGCTCGCTTAGTAGCAAAAGGCTACAAGCAAGAATATAATGTTGACTATGTAGAAGTGTTTGCTCCCGTTGCTTGTTTAGATACCATCATATTAGTGATTGCTTTGGCTGCTCAAAATGCTTGGAAAATCTATCAGTTGGACGTGAAATCTGCTTTCCTACATGGTGAACTTCAAGAAAAGGTATTTATAGCATTGCTATGTGAAATTTGGTGGTGAGAATAAAGTGCTTAGATTGAAAAAGGCTCTATATGGACTAAAACAAGATCCAAGAGCTTGGTATAGTCGCATAGATACTTATTTTTCAAAGGAGGGATTTTGAAAGTGTCCATAGGAACATACTCTTTATATAAAAAGGAAAGGTGCATGGGTCTTAATGGTGTGTTTATATATGGATGACTTAATAATTTATATCGGAAGTGATGTGTCTATGATTGAGAAGTTTAAGAAGTCCATGATGGTTGAGTTTGACATGTCCTATTTGGGTGTGATGCATTATTTTCTTGGTTTAGAAGTGAATCAATCTGTTGATGGTATTTTTGTTTCTCAAAAGAAATATGTGCAAGATATTTTGGACAGATTCCAGATGAAATATAGCAACAATGTGAGCAAACCAATGGAGAAGGGTCTGAAGTTCGTCAAAGAACCTGAAGGGAGAAAAGTGGACAGCACTTTATACAAGCAAATCGTTGGAAGCTTGATGTACTTGACGGCAACAAGGCCTGATGCTATGCACGTTGTAAGTCTCATTAGCAGATTAATGAAGATTCCAAAAGAAATGCATCTACAAGCTGCCAAGAGGATTCTGCGGTACTTGAATGGTACCAGTGACCTTGGAATTCTTTATCAGATGAGAGCAGCTGGAGATTTAGTTGGTTACACTGATAGTGACTATGCTGAAAATCTTAAAGACAGGAAAAGCACATCAGGATATGTTTTTATGTTGGGCTCTGGAGTTATTTCTTGGTCTTCAAAGAAGCAACCTATTGTTACTGTCAACTACCGAGGAAGAGTATGTAGCTGCAACATCGTGTACTTGTTAAGCAGTTTGGCTGAAGAATATTCTTGAAGAACTTCATTTTAAGAGGAAAGACCAACGCCAATCTATTGTGACAATACTTCGGCGATTAATCCTTCAAAGAATCCAATTGAACATGGATGAAGTAAGCATATAGATGTGAAGTATCACTTCTTGCGTGATCTGACTAAGGATGCAAAGATTAGTCTTATTTATTGTAGAAGTGAAGAGCAGGTTGCAGACATGCTCACAATGCCCCTGAAACTAGTGTCATTTCTAAAGCTACGTGATCAACTTGACAACAACAACAACAACATATCCAGTGGAATCCCACTACGTGGGATCTGGGGAGGGTAGATTGTACGCAGACCTTACCACTACCTCGTGGAGGTAAAGAGGTTGTTTCCGGAGGACCCTCAGCTCAAGTACATCAAAATCCAAGTAAAAGAAGAGGAAACAGTATATAAAACATAACATCCAATAAGAAAAATAGTGTATAATCAACAAAAGCGACAATAACATCAAGAAATACTGTGAGAGATGAAGCGCAGTAAACAACAAGTGGCTATAGGGATCACAGACAAGAACTACAATTGCAAGGCTAGGACTACTACAAACGCTACCAACCCATACCATCGCAAGGAAAGACAACACGCTAACCCTACTAACCTTCAACCTTAATACGCGACCTCCACTCCTTTCTATCTAGAGTCATGTCCTCGGTAAGGCGAAGCTGAGCCAAGTCCTGTCTAATCACCTCTCCCCAATACTTCTTAGGCCTACCCCTACCCCACCGCGTACCCTCTACAACCAGCCCCTCGCACCTCCTCACTGGGGCGTCTACGCACCGTCTCTTCACATGCCCAAACCATCTCAGTCTCGCTTCCCTCAGCTTGTCCACCACAGAGGACACTCCCACCTTTTCCCGGATGACCTCATTCCTAATCCTATCGTTCCTAGTGTGCCCACACATCCATCTCATCATCCTCATCTCCGCAACATGCATTTTTTGAACATGTGAGTTCTTGACTGGCCAACACTCCGCTCCATACAACAAGGCCGGTCTAACTACCACTCTGTAGAACTTACCTTTAAGTTTAGGTGGAACTTTCTTATCACACAAGACTCCAGAGGCAAGCCTCCATTTCATCCAAGCAACCCCAATGCGATGTGTGACATCATCGTCTATGTCTCTACTTCCTTGGATTACAGACCCAAGATACTTAAAACTTTCTTTCTTAGGAATGATTTGTGTGTCAAGTCTCACTTCCCCATCTGCTTCATCTAACGCATCGCTGAATTTGCACCCCAAATATTCTATTTTGGTCCTACTCAACCTGAACCCTTTGGACTCCAGCGTTTGTCTCTACACCTCCAACCTTGCATTAACTCTGTCCCGCGTCTCATCAATCAGTACTATGTCATCCGCAAATAACATACACCATGGGACCTTCTCCTGAATAGACCGCGTCAACTCATCTATCACCAAAGCAAAAAAGAAAAGGGCTAAGGACTGATCCCTGATGCAGCCCCATCTCAACTGGGAAATATTCTGAGTCTCCTCCAACCGTTCTAACCCGAGTCTTGGCTCCACCGTATATGTCCTTTATCGCCCTAATATAAATCATCGGGACACCTTTAGCCTCCAAGCACCTCCAGAGGACATTCCTCAGTACTTTGTCATAGGTTTTTTCAAGGTCACTGAACATCATATGTAGGTCTCTCTTCCTTTCTCTATATTTTTCTACCAGTCTTCGCATAAGATGAATGGCTTTGGTAGTCGATCGTCCCAGCATGAATCCAAACTGATTCTCAGAAATGGACACCCCTCTTCTCACCCTCATCTCCACCACTCTTTCCCAAATCTTCACAGTATGGCTTAGCAGTTTGATACCCCTGTAGTTGTTACAGTTTTGGATATCACCCTTGTTTTTATACAACGGAACCATTGTACTCCACCTCCATTCATCAGGCATCTTTGATGTCTTAAAAATAACATTAAACAGCCCAGTTAGCCACTTTATACCTACCTTGTCCGTGCTTTTCCAAAATTCCACTGAAATCTCATCGGGTCCGGTCGCTCTTCCCCTGCCCATCCTACTAATAGCACGTATAACCTCCTCGATCCTAAAACACCTACAGTACCCAAAGTCCCGAAGTCTTTCAGAGTGCACCAAATCACCCAACACAATGTCTCCGTCCCCTTCTTCATTTAAAAGTTTGTGAAAGTATCTTCGCCATCTTTGCTTGATGGAGGTCTCTTCCACTAATACTTTGCCTTCCTCATCCTTGATACACTTCACTTGGTCCAAGTCGCGAGCCTTCCTCTCTCTTGCTTTTGCGAGCCTATACAATTTCTTATCCCCACTTTTGTCCTCCAGCTCGACATACAAGCGTTCGAAAGCTGTCGTCTTAGCCTTCATAACTGCTAACTTAGCTTCTACCTTTGTCATCTTATAAACCTTCTTAAGCGTCCGCTTCTCTTCCTCATCTACGCACTCCACCAACTTTGTGTATGCCGCCTTCTTTGCTTCCACTTTGCCTCGAACTTCCTCATTCCACCACCAATCTCCTTTATTGCCTCCAAAGTTACCCCTAGATATCCCTAACACCTTTGAAGCAACTTCCCTAATGCAACTAGCTGCTTTATTCCACATGGTGTCCGCATCCCCACTACCACTCCAAGCCCCCATCCCAATCAACTTCTCGCCCATCTCCCGAGAAAGGGCAGGGGTCAAGCCACCCCATTTAATCCTCGGTCGATCAAAAACAATATTCTTCCTCCTATCCCTCTTAATATCCAGGTCCATCACCAAAAGCTTGTGTTGGGTAGTAAAATTTTCACTTGGGATAACCTTGCAATCCTTACAGAGACCTCTATCACCCTTCCTAAGGAGTAAGTAATCTATCTGAGTCTTAGCTATCGAGCTACGAAAGGTAACCATGTGGTTCTCCTTCTTCGGAAAGCATGAGTTAGCAATCACCAACTCAAAGGCTTTAGCGAAATCCAGAAGCGAAGTTCCACCTCCATTTCTCTCCCCAAAACCAAAGCCTCCATGAACATCATCAAAGCCACTAGAAGTTGCCCTGATGTGGCCATTAAAATCTCCACCAATGACAATTCTCTCGGAGATCATTATACCTCTAACTACCTCATCCAAATCCTTATAAAAGAGCTTTTTGGCCTCCTCGTCCAAGCCCACTTGAGGTGCATAAGCACTAATAACACTCAGAGTACATCCTCCAATGACTAGCTTAATCGTCATCAACCTATCATTGATCCTCCTAACCTCCACCACTTGCTCCCTCAAATTCCCGTCTACTAAAATACCCACTCCATTTTTATCCCTTGAGCCTCCTGAGTACCACAACTTAAACTCGTCGACATCCCGAGCCTTGGAACCTACCCATCTAGTCTCTTGGACACACGCTATATTTATCTTTCTCTTCTTGAGAATTTTCACTAGCTCTATGGACTTCCCCGTCAACGAACCTATGTTCCATGATCCTACCCTCAATATGCGATCAACTTGGTGTTTGCAAATTAAACTGAAAGATGTTTCAGTTTAAGTGAGGGAATGTTGGCAACGTGATCAGATGTGGTTTAGTAGTTAGGTTGTTGCATTTGTTTAGGAGTCATTAAGTTATTTCCTAGTGTTTAGGCTATAGGAGTAGTGGAGTCAGTTTTCATATTCAGAAGTATTAGGAGAGTAAATGTGTGTTTTTTTATTTATAAGGTTTTCTATTTAAGGACTGGAGTCTTTTTCTTTCATCTTTGCTGCAGTTAATTTTCTATCATGTCTATAATAGACTTTTGTGCATCTTACTACTAAAATGAAAATTGGCTTGTCGAAAGTATTTCTAAGGGTCTATTGCAATTATTATTTTTGATAGTGAGATCTATGAATTTGATATATGTGTCTTAACTCATGTTGTTAAAAAAAATTTATGTAATTGATTTTCTTCATTGTAACATATATTTTATTTTTTATTTAGGGTGTTTAGCCAGATGCCAAATCCAGAAAATTATGTGATAAAACAACTGAGTGAGGATCTAGGGTTTGATATAACACAAGTCAAGATTTGGTTTTATAACAAAGGATACTACATCAAGGTTTTTATTACAAAATTTTGATGATAACTTGGAAAATATGTTGTGTAAATATAAATGTTAAATGTTTCTTTGACAATCTGTTTAAATTGTTGAATTCTCTTGACTGGAAGTTTTTAGAAAACAACAAAAGAGTTTTACAACGCTAATTGATTGTGGGCTCGACTCATGTGCATGACACTTCAAGTTTTTTAATATATATTTTTGGTGAAATTCATGTTATTATTTTATTCTGATTTGGATCCTTATATATATTATTTAGCTAAACACATTAGACCTTCAATAAAGTTAAATGTTTGATTATGCTCCTTTAAGCAGATGGATGCTAAATAGTTAACATAATCCACGTTAAAAACACATTTAACTTAATTGAAGGAATAACATACTTATCCAAATAATGCAAGAACCAAAATCATAATAAAAAATATATATAATTCTGAGATCAAAATAGTTAACATAATCCACGTTAAAAATACATTTAACTTAATTGAAAGAATAACATAAGTATCCCTTTATGGTGGTACTGGAGGGGTAATAAGGAACCACCTAGGAGAATGGATAATAGGCTTTGCTTGTAAAATAAAAGCGGATAGTGCCTATCACGCGGAATTGCTTGCTCTACTACATGGCCTGAATCTTGCCGAAGCAAGACATATAAAGCTCTCAACGGTGGAAACTGATTCGCAGGTATTGCTAAACTCCCTATATAGTAAGAATTTCTTATACTCACATATTCGAGCTGATTGCAGGTCATTACTCTAGCGGATGAAGGATCCAGCGCTGGAATACGCCTCGAGGGAGGCTAATGGACTAGTTGATACTCTAGCAAAATACGGAGGGAATTCCAAGGATCCAACTATGTTAAAAAACAAACTAAATGTTTTTGTAGCATCTCCTTCCTTTACTACTAAAACTCTTGAAAGAGATGCGGATGGAACTATTTCATATAGATTAGTTCCTTTTTGTATGGATGATCCTTAATTATCATAAATAAAATTCCTCCGTTCTAAGCAAAAAAAAAACAAAAAATATAAGTATCCAAATAATGCAAGAACCAAAATCATAATAAAAAATAATAATTTTGGGATAAAAAATGCTATCTGCCCTATAGTATAATTAGTTCCTTAAATACGATTGATTAACGCAAATATTCTCTTTTAGGGTTACGTACCATTTAGATTTTATCATTATTTTTAAAATTTGTATAACAATATAGCTTTTGGAAATTATCCTTTCGGACAATGATATGTTTTGGTATAATATTTATTCATATATTGCTTAATATCATAGACGAAGTCACAAACTATTAGGTTATGTCTAATATGTAGAATAACTTACAAAATTTTAGATAGGATTTAATGTTTTTTCAAAAGATTATAGGTTTGCTAGCGCTCAATCAAAATCTTTAGACCATGGTCTAAAATAAATCTATAAGTTACTAGCAAAATAAAAAGAGGATCATTTACTACATAGATGTCCCAAAAAGAGACAATTGATGAATTATTTTGCTAAACTACTCCCGCGTCACTGTTATCACAATAATAATGATCTAGTCACTTTTTTATTTTTTTAAATTATATCATTCACTATTAACATATATATTGTAAATTGTGATATTGAATTATACTAATTTCAGGCCCAACAAATTATTGAAGAAAGTGAGATTGATTATTTTATTTTATTGTACTCCTCTCTTCCTTATGATGGAGTTGTGTCTTGTTTTAATATTTGTATTCTCTTAGAAGTTGTTGTACCTGTTTAGACTAGTTCTTAGAGAGGGTTTTCCGTTGTATGCGCAAAAAAGCTTTTTGTTGTAATTAATGTTGAGATTGATTATTTTATTTTCTTAAGGTGAAATATCATGTTTCTCTTTACTTATGCATTATCAATTTTAAATTGGATGGTAAAGATCCTCATATCTAGGTGTTAGAGTAGCTGCCCGCACGACCTAATGTTGGGTATGTAGCAAGAGTTAATGGGAAATTGAGGGAAGATGAAAGAGGAACTTCGAAAAAATTGGGAACTTGAAAAGTTGAGAACTTGAAAAGTCCTCTTATGCTTTATTGAAAAGACATTTGTCCTTCATCGGTGGTGGAAAGAAAAATAGGAGAGTTTAAATATAGAAACACTCCTTGAAAAGTCCCATTTTATTTAAATTTCCCGCAGTGACTGTTCTGAAAGGTTGCAACTTTCAAAAACAACCATGACCGTTTGAAAGGTTGCAAACTTTCATGAATGGTCGTGTGGATTCTGAAAGGATTGCAACCTTTCGGAACCAGTTCCTCTTGCCTATAAATACATTGATTCTTCAGACTTATTCCTTACGAATTTTTCTGATTTCTTCTTCTTCTTCTGCACAAAATTTCTTTGTGTATTTTACTGTTGTTGAGTGGTTAGCTGACACCAGAGTTTTGGGTATCAATACACTGGTGATTGAGATCATTCTATCTTGGGAGGACATATTCCAAATCAAACCTCGGATACTAGAGGGGAATAATTTCCTTAAGGGGACACTGTGCATTCAGTGGGCTTGATCTTTTCTGATTCTGTTTTCTCCAGATTGTGGTACGCTTTACAGATTTTAGTTTTGTCAATTAATTTATGTTCATCTATTCTTACTGGTTTATTAAACTTTGGTTACTTCGTGTTTCTGCAAAGTTTATTGAAATCAGTAATTCTTGATTTTTTAAACACAGATTGATAACACCTAATAGTTGAGTCGTGACACAAACAAATTAAGTTCTTCATCTTAATTTTACTTATAAAATTAGTACTTTTATAAACGTTAAAAGAAATTTTGACTCTTACAAACCATATTTATGAGTAGTTAGACTACTTAGTCATATTTCATTAAATGTTTGTCCACAAAAATTCATGATTTTATTTCGAAGACCCTATAAATCCAAGATTGGACAAATTTTCTTCTACACATATTTCTTCGTTTTGAGAATGAACTTTATTTGCTCATCACATTTTTATTTTCTCTCTTGTTTCATTCTTATCTCATTCATGACTTCTCAAAATGATGCAAGTGTTGGGTCAACTTCTGGTCAAGAGATCGGAAAAACGATTTTTCAACATTCGTATGAACAAATAATTGAGAAACTTGAAGAGTGAGTTTGTTGAATAAATAATTTTTTGGCTCTTTTTTTTTTATCCTTTTATATTTTCTGAATTTTTACTCATTGATGATGTTCTTTATGATGTCTATCATAGGTTTTTGTGCATCTCACTACTAAAAATGAGAATTGATTTGTCAAAATTATTTTTGAGCGTCTTTCACAATTATTATTTTTGATAGTGAAACCTATGAATTTGAGATATGTGTCTTAACTCATGTTGTTTAAATAAAAAATTATGTAATTGATTTTCTTTGTTGTAACATATATTTTATTTTTGATTAGGGTGTTCAGCCAAAAGCCAAATCCAGAAAATGATGTGATAGAGCAATTGAGTGAGGAGCTAGGGCTTGATACAACACAAGTCAAGATTTGGTTTTATAACAAAGGATACTACATCAAGGTTTTTATTATAAAATTTTGATGGTTACTTGAAATATATGTTTATATTGTGTACATATAAGTGTTAAATGTTTCTTTGACAATATGTTTAAATTGTTAGAATTCTCTTGACAAATGAAAGTTTTTAGAAAACAACAAAAGAGTTTTAAAATGCTAATTGATTGTGGGTTTGACTTATGGGCATGACACTTAAAGTTCTTTAATTTTATTTTATTTTTGGTGAAATCCATGTCTTTAGTTATTGGTCCATGAGTTATTGTTTTATTCTGATTTTGATCGTTATGTTATTTGGCTAAGCACATTAGACCTTCAATTAAGTTAAATGTTTGATTTTGCTCCTTTAAGTTAAGAACACATTTAACTTAATTGAAGGTCTAATGTGCTTAGTCAAATAACACAAGACCAAAATATAATAAAACGATAATTGAGGGATAAAAAAATGTTATTTTCCATATAGTGTAATTAGTTTCTAAAATACAATTGATTAACACAAATATTCTCTTTAAGGACTACCATTTAGATTTTATCATTATTTTTATAATTTGTATAACAATATAGCTTTTCGAAATTATTCGTTCGGACAATGTTATACTCTTGTATAATATTTATTCATAAATTGCTTAATATTATAGAC